AATGCCTCACCTCTTGCTATTTTCATTTTTAAGTGGAATAACAAGAAGATACTCTTAGCCCAGCTGTTTTTCACTGGTACCAACTGTCAGGCCTACAGTGACTTCTTTGTAAAAATACCTCCTTAATCATGTACACTCTGAATATTTGTTCTTCCCGTGTTTTTTAGAACCAGCATTGTACAACAAATCTTCATAACGTACCTCAGTTCTTCAGAAATACAGGTGAAGAATATGTGCATGTTTTAACCCAAGCTACAGTTTTAGAAGAAAACCAGAAAGCATATGTACATAATTAAATAATATTTTTGGGGCAAAAAAAAAAAAAAAGGCAAGCTTACAGAATAACTTCAGGAGACCAAAGGGGGAAAAGTAGAGGAAAGAAACTGGAGTCTTTTTACAGGTAGGACATACCTCAAGAATTGTCAAAATACACTGGAGCAGAGAAAGTCCAAGCTTGTATCCTACACTGCCAGTCATGCTGCTGAGCACTTTATCATGGGCCCTTTGTTGAACCATGCAAATGGTGGATTGAAAAGAAGGATTTTTTTTTTGTGAGTTTTTCTTTAATGAACACCACAAAGGAAAAAGATAAGACTTGAAAACTTTGGTTTATGAACTATCACGTCGGACTGCTTTTGTAAATCTCTAAGAATGTTTTATGCAAGGTCTGCCCTCACTGTAAGAAATATGAAGTTTAAGAGATTTTTCTTAATTTGTGTTTGAAAGTATTTCTTATTCAAGGAGGATTTTTTAGATGTTATATTTTCCTCAATAAAAATGGAATAACGTTGAAAGTTTTATGATGTCTTTTATTAAAAAGGTGAAAACTGTCAATGATGTCAAGTCTGCATTTGTTCTGTGATAGCAAACTTTAGAGCCCTGGGGTTTTCACGAAATCGAAGGGAATAATTGGAAATATTTGAGAGGAGAATCAAGTCTTCCATTAGTGTTATGTCTGAGGAATGTGTAATATTCTACTTCTGCTTTTAACTACATCCTAGCACAATTTGTGCTTGCTCCTGTTGAACTTTGAAAATTCAAAGCATCTAGGATGCTTGCAGATGAATTTTAAGTGGTCAAAACTTTCCACATCTGTTGTGGAATGATGAGACGACAAAAGAAAACACCGTGAGTAATAAATCTTTATTGTGCCTGCTTTAACAAATGTTGGCATCTTTGTTTATTTTCTTCATTTCTTGTAAGGCTGTTCCTTTCCCTTCAAATAGGAAATTATTGGATGATATATTATTGTTTCTAAACAGAAGAAGGAAAGGTTCATGAAAGCACCTGGATCCGAGAGTTGTGATAACATAGGAAACAGATACTGAGGAAGTAAAGAAAAAAGGTGTAAGGATTTCTAAATGGACTATGATTATAAGAGGCCCCATTCTGCAATGATTTACGCACGTGTGAAGTTTATACTACAATATATAATGCTTTATGGGAGTGTGAAAGGAAAAGGAATCAATGCTAAGTGTGTATACTCTGTTACCTTCTGCAAAAGGATGTAAAGAAAGGCCACCTGTGAACACGGAGGAGTAACAGCATCCTGAAGAAAATTATTTTTTATTCAGGCATCGTTGCTGCATCAGAACAGCTGTGCCATTTTAAGAGTGTGATACCTGACTGAGCAGATATGCAGGAGACTGTGCTTTATAACAGATGACTTCTCTAAAATCCTACATCTAATTCATTGCTACTGTGAGTGTGAAAATATGGGGTTTTTTTTGTAATGTGTTGATGTGTACTTTTTATGTGCCGAAGATGCGATTATATGAGCTTGGGCAAGTACACTTATTTTAATTTCAAAAAGTTCAACTATATGAGGTCAGACCTCCTAAATAAAAAAACTCTATATTTACTTGCTCTACTGAGCTACCTACATTTGAATACAATTGAGACAGTGATATGTGCTTTTAAAATATCTGCAATTATTGACTGGTTGAAGTCCCTCTGCATTATAGTATGCTGCAGACTAGCGTGGGATAGCACAGAGTTTATATGGATGTGGCTGCAGTATTGCACCCAAAATGTACTCCAAATTGATTTCCTTTACTCCCTCAGGGAGCTGGAATGTGAATGCCCGAAGCAGGTTGGTAAAGATGATGAACAGTTCAACTCGTGCCATCTGTTCCCCCAAACATACACGGTGCCCTGCAGAAGAATGGGAAAAAGAGTTAGTTGTATAAAGCTAAGTTCTGAAAAAGAACTTGGAACAAAATTCTACTGAGTTCCCTACATTCTGTTAATGTAAGATAATTATTTCCTTCTGTACGGACAGAAGATGCCTTTGGAGGTGGGGGGAAACATTTATTTATCTGAGAAACTGTATACCTCTAATTATGTTGACTGGGTTTTTTGTTAGTTTAGGGGTTTTTTGGTTGGTTGGTGTTTGGGTTCCCTGCCCCCCCTTTCCCTGGAGCATGTACAAGATTCTTCCTTTTCATTTCTGCTTCTTGTTCTGTGAGAACCATTAATTGCTTCTCAGTTAAAAGAAGGCCGGATTTTAAAAGGCTTCATATACTTCAGAGCCTTGTCTTTGGTTGTTGAGGAGGGAGGACTGGAGCATTGTGAGATTCAATTCTGAAGCTAAGTAGAAGGATGTAATCGGGCTTTCTTCAATGGAAATTAAGGCAGCTATATCGGGTCCTTGACGCCCAGTGTCCTCTCTCTAACACTGTCCAGGGGCAGATAAGTAAGCTAAGGGAATGAAATGTAGGCGTGTGCAGTGATTTATGGACTCAGTGACTCAATTTGACATATTGTTTTCACAGTGTATTTCAGGATATCTATATGTTCCAGACTAAAATAAAGATATATATTCAGGATATATAAATACTCAGACTGTATAAACAGAAAACAATCAAAGTACGTTAGAAAAGAAAATTTGCTATGGCTGGGTTGAAATGGTAGCCTAAATTAGTTGTCGATTCATGTAAACTAGTGGACATCTGGTGAGTAAAGGAGGTAAGATGTTAAGTACCTGGTTTGTAAATATGATTTTAGGATTTACAGGCAATTTGGGCAAATGGTTTTAAAATCTGGATTTATTGTGTTTAATCTGACTGCTTTGTACATTACTTAGCATACCATTTGCTTTCTATCTACAACAAATGTATAATAGTATAATCTGTCATCGTAACATATAAAACCCCCAGCTGTTTTCCAGTGGTTTTATTGTTTAATTTTTATATTTTAATTTTCAGTAAATAGCACCAGCTTCCTCTTTTGTGCTGTTTTTCTTCATAATCTGATTATTGGAGAAACTGGTAGTCTAGAGAAGCTTTCTGAGTTATATTTTGTACTGCTTTTTTTTTTTCTCCCATGCCTTTGTATCACTGCGTTTTGCATTGTAAATTAGGTAAGTTGTACGTCATAATATGCTTTTGAAAAGTTAGATTTTTTTTTTATTTTTGGTTGCCTAATAATATTCTACTGAAAAGACTGGGTTTTTCTAGTTTTCTGGAGATACTAGAGAACCTGTTGCTAGACTGGTACTGTAGGATTTGGGAGACTGAGGTTTGGTTTCCTGGTTTGTCGCAGGTTTTCTCTGTATATTTTGGCAAATCATATTACTTTTGTCTTTGGATTCCCCATTTGTAAGGTGAGAATAAATTGATTTTCTGATTTGAGGGTGTTATCAGGATTTAATACATTAGGGACTAAGGAGCTCAGATACCCTTATAGTAGGAACCATACATATACCACGGAGACAGCATTATATCTCTTAGCCATACTCATCCTCTGTTTGAATGTATAAAAAATATAAAATGTAAAACAATATTTGTGGTTCTTACAGCAGAACACCTGCCTTTAAATCTTTGTGTCAAATATGGTTTTATAAAAGTATGTTTTTAAAATTTTAGAATTTAGAAATGGTGTTTTTTAGTCTTCCTGCAAGACACGGTGAACAGGAATATTCAAATGTCAGGGCATTACCTGCTGAGAAAGGTAAGAATGCCTCTTTGTTCACAAAGTTGCCATCCAAATCAAGAAAATGATTTGGGTTGAACTTCCACGGGGTCGCCCAATGCTCAGAGTCATACACAACAGAGTGCAGATTTGGCAATACGAGCGTGCCCTGCAAGAAGAAGCAGAGATTATATTTTCCATGTATGATTGATTCTTTTTTTTTGGACTTTTCTTCTCTCTAACAGATAATATGCCATCCTGCGTCTGCAGCCCAGTGTTTGGATTCAACCTGGTCTTCTGCGCACATCCAGGCATGACAAACCCTTGTATCTTCTGTTTGTCATAACGTATTACATGTTTGCCTTTGTGTAAGTTGTCTTATGTCAGGACTACTGAAGTGTCTTCATGCCTAAGCTAGAGTGGAGCTTGGATTGTTTTACATACTTGCCAGACTAATTATAACACTTTCCTTTTTGTTTTTTTTTTACTCTTCACTGGATCTTTCAATTCCATCACATCAGTTTTATGCTTAATATATTTGGGACGTTTATATCATGCCAATGTGACTGTCAGATCTGTCGCTGTACTGAGCTGCCATCATCGTAAGCATGTAGGTTTTGTGTGTGTGTGTGTGTGTTTTGTCAGAGGTGACGACAGGTTGCACCAGGCAGGTCCCTTGTGTGTGAAAGTTAGCTGGCTTGACGTTCATTAAACCTCATTCCTTCATCATTCCTTAAAACACATGTGCTGCTTTGATGCCCAGACCTCATCCGTATTTGACTAGTGGGAAGAAAGACTTCAGTTTTCCTTATGTTTGCTACTTGTGCTGTTAGCCTTTTCCCAAGCTTTCTTTTGCATCTGCTAATGTAGACTTAGCCCTGGTTCAGAGCACTCAGCTTTGTTTCCTGTCTGTGACATGCTACCACACGCTCTCTATGCAAAGTTAGGAATTGTAGAAGCTAATGTCATATAAATACTAAATATTAATAGCTCAAAGCTTTAAGAAACACGGAGGTATACTCTGTACCTTTTTAATGTGAAAACCCAGCAAAGTTGTATTCCTCACA